CCAGCCTTCTCGGGAGCGGGTGCAAATACTGCGTTTGTTCTCTCTGTTAGTTTGCCGCAGCGTTGCCTGTGTTCTGGCTTTGTAACATACGTACGTACACATCCTAATAAAAGAAAAAGCAAACGGATGAAGCCTGTCCCTGCAGCTCTTCTGTGGAGACTGGGAGTCATCGTTTGTGCTGTTTGTGTGAGCTGCTAAGTGGCTTGGAAGGCCCTGTAGTGTTATGCCTGATTTATATCTTTAATTTCTAGGCTGTTGGGATAATTCTAATGCATTTTTCGTGTCTGTACATCTCCCTGCTTGTGATTACGCAGCATGAGTAAGTGCAGCTTGGTTTGAGTTTGCATATGATGAACTCATATAATTGAAACGTTTGAAAGATGATGAGCTCTTCAGTGGTGGCTCGTTCTGTCAGTTCAGGTGGTTTTCCTTTAAGGAGTGACCAGTCAGAGACGCAGCCCCGGTTCCAAGCAGTTTTTAAAGCGAGCTGAGGGTCTGTGATGGTCACAGGGTCGAGGAGGTGTGGGTGGCCTCTCCATATCCCAGGGAGCTGCCCTCCAGGATTACCTTTCCTGCACGGCAGCAAAAATGCTTCGCTGAAAGCAGCTCTTTAGAAAGAGGAAGGCAATTGCTCTTTCTCAATCACCAGGTTTCTTGTGCTTAGAAGAAGACTTGTGGCAAAACTGGTGGAGTTTTGCCTCAAGAGGGAAAGGATAGTTCTGATGAGTGTCTGAAGGCAGGCTTATTGCTGCCCTTCCTAAATATTACAAAGATACAAAGTTGTGTAGTTTAAGGGCTGATTTTGTAAAGCCTTTCCTGGAGAGCTGTGGTATGGTTTATGTAAATGCAGAAAAACCTGTGAGGTAGACCTGGCTGAGCCCTGTTCAGCCCACACAAAGACTTTTTATCTTGCCTATCTTACAAAACTTGGAAGCTCACAGTTTCAGTAGTTGAAGGAGCTGATTGCTGAGAATTTAAACTTCTTTCTAGTCTTTTCAGACAGTGTATCTCAGGTCTGGATACCACTTGAAAACTGGAAACAAAAACTGTCTTTGTCCCTTCCTGCTAGCAGATCCAGACGCACAGTAGCATAGGCATGAAAAAACGTTCAGATGCGTGACGTGATTTTTTTCATTTTGCTTGGGTAACCTTGGGTGTTTCTGATAGTGCTTGGAAGGGGGTTGATCATGAGGCTCAACCTTCTGTAATCTGGTGAGTCCAATTTGCAGAATCCCTGTAATATGCTCATTAATTCTGGAAAAGACTGGTGGCAAGTGGTTTGTTCTTTGCTGGGCCTGTGTACGGGATTTCACAGCTACTGACAGCCTGAAACCACAGATCGGTTTTTCAGGGTGGGCGATTAGGTTCAGCCTGGGTCATCTGCGGCTCGAAGTCCCCCTTTGGGGGTGCGTGGGCTGGGGGAGGTAACCAGCACTGAAAAGCAGCTTTGTGTTCTTGAAGTGCATTTCTTTTTCTTGGATTTTAAAGGTCTTGTAATCTAGACTATTGAACGGACCTCCTGCGATTAGGTTCAGCCTGGGTCATCTGCGGCTCGAAGTCCCCCTTTGGGGGTGCGTGGGCTGGGGGAGGTAACCAGCACTGAAAAGCAGCTTTGTGTTCTTGAAGTGCATTTCTTTTTCTTGGAATTGTAAAGGTCTTGTAATCTAGACTATTGAATGGACCTCCTCTTTTGTCTTACTTTTAGAGGGATAAATGTGTCTTACAGTGTCACGACAGGGCCACAGGTTAACAAACAGAAAGCAGTCGCCCTTCAGCCGAAGGGAAAGTTTCTGAGTTTCATTGTGTGTGATGTACAGCAACCCTTTCCCCAGCAGATAAGACTGTGGTTGCTCACATTTGGTCACTAAGAGGTTGCCCTGGTTTTGTGTTTTTTGTGTCGATATCGAAGGCTGTCTGATGGTTTTTCCTGTTTGCGTGGCTTTAGATTTCTGACACACTGAAGCGGTTTGCAGTAAAAGTGACCACCGCCAGCGTGAAGGAACGGAGAGAGATCCTCAGTGAGCTGGCAAAATGCATTTCTGGGAAAGGTAAAAGCTTTGGGCCGCTGTCCGGGTTAGCAGGGTGGAGGAGAATCTTACACTGTTTTGTTTCAAGAGCTGTGTGAAACTTGAGGGGAAGATTTTTGAGGGAGGGGACTGGCAGCATTTGGAGTCCCTGCTTTCTCCCTGCATTCATTCCAAGCATGGGGTGTGTAGGTAGCACGAACGCTGGTTGCTAGCGTGTGTGCTTTTTCCAGTCAGTAGTTGCAGCATTATGTGTCTTAGTTTTTCATTAGTGTATCAGTTGCCTGTTTCTGTCCAGACTCTTAACCTGGTTTTTAATGATTCTATGTGTGTGTGTATAAATATATCATGAGAGAGACAGAGTATGAAAGATTTCATATAGTCATAATAAAAGAGTTGATACAAATGTTTGAAAGTCTTCTTTACTTATTTCATTTTCTGAAGGTAACTGTGGAATAACGCCTATTCTGATTTTGCCCTTATTTTTAAAAATATGCATAAAATGTATAAAAACAGAGAACTTCTACTATGATCCTTGCAAGCAATTTCATAGATGAGAGCAATTCACCGATTTCAGTTGTGAAGCAAATCACGTTTTTGTTCAGGAGCTCATCGATGTACAAAAAAATATTTTAAAATGCATTCTGTCGCAGATCTTCCAGAGGGTGCAGTGAAAGGCCTTTGCAAACTCTTCTGCCTAACTCTGCACCGATACCGGTGAGTAAATTGGTGTCGAAACGCTGTGTTATTTAATCTAGCAGTATTTATGCATTTATGAGTAAAACTGACGTGGAGCATCTGGAGATGTTGGCAGGCAGTGTCACAGAGATGCGTATGACACTGAAGATGCCATCTGATAATCAGGCTCTCGACTTAGCTTTGACATTAAAACGTTTTACAGCACTTACCTTGTGCTTCACCTTTAATTTTGAAATTAAAACTTGCATCCTGTGGTTCAGTTTACAAGAAAGAGTGCCCGTGTACTTGTGAAGTGAGACTAAGGTGTGTTTTAGATGTCTTTTCGACACTTTTAGATTGGATTAAGTCATGGCCTATTGTAGAGAAGCTGTTCAGAACCTATTTTCTTCTGCAACCTGCTGGAGAGTCTTGACAGAACTTCTGTCAGCTGAGTAGGGGATTGGAGCTTTCTGCCATAAACTTCTCCACTTTTTGGAACAGCAAGGAGGAAATAACAATTAACTTGACTGCTGGAATGAGAAAGCAGAGCCCTGTGTGTGATGCAGGCGCAGTACTGTGTGTAATGTTGGCAGGATGTGTAATGTTCATGGAGATACATTTCTCATTCCAGCGATGCAGCGTCCCGCAGAGCCCTGCAGCTGGCGCTTCAGCAGCTCGCGGAATCCCAGCCCGATGCAACAGCAAAAAACCTGCTGCAGTCACTTCAGTCTTCAGGGATCGGTGGCAAGGCTGGAGTTCCCAGGTGCTGGACCGGTTGCTTTGTGCGGAAGCGGTTCTGAGTTGCTGGTAGTTGCTCTTGTGTTCAGAATGATTCTTCTTCTACCGCTTGCCAGAGGTGTTAAAAACTAGTAGAGACAAAGCTTTTAATGATCATTTAAATGTTTCTCTCGTACCTTTTCCGAGTCTTCTGTGAAAGCAGAAGGACTTTCTTGGTATTACTGCTGCTGTATTGGGTCTGAGTTACGGTTTTGCCTTTGGTAACCTTCAGGTCTGGAGAGAGAAGGAATAAGCTCTTTTATCAAGAAATAGATTATAAAACAAATAGGAAAGAGAATTTCCCTGTCATTTGGTGGTCAGCTGGTGGGATTCCAGACCTTATTGTAGACAGGAAGATTTGAAGCTGAGCTGAAAACCTCACTGCTGTTGTACAGTGGTAGCATCTGGGAACAGCAGCGGTTCCAAAGGTGACTTTCTAGGGTGTTGTTCAGCTGATAGAGGCCACAGTCCCACAACGCCTCCGTGGCTGAATAGAAGTGTAGCTTTTAGAAAAATACCTGGTCCCGGTTTAAAGGCTTGTGGTGACACAGCATTTACCCTTCAGTCGCAGTGACCGGACCTGTGCCCAAGGACGCTTTCTAAATTCTTTCCCTTTGAGGTAGAGATCAAAATGGGGTGAGGATCCTCAGGGAGCTGCGAGGTGGGATCCGTTACCTGAAGTAGAGGGAGGAGGTGAGAGTTAGCAGAAGCCAGAAGCGAGTAGTGTGCCAGGAGGGAATGTAAGCTGAGAAATAATTTGGCAGTCTAAGGCTGGGAAGCTCTGACAGTAGAGATGAGCAGCAGATGAGAAATCTTGAGTCACTTTTTGGGCACTCTCAGTTGGCAAAGTATTTAATGCTCATTTCTGTAATGCCACGGGAAAGATCCAAAAATGGCCTTTCTGCTGCTAAGGTTTTGCATTTCCAGCAGGCAAGATTTAGCTTCTTTTGTGCCATAAGTTCTCAGTGCTAAACAGGAGCTGCAGCACATAGCTTATGAGAGGTAATTATTTCCTTTAAATGCTAAGACTTCAGCTGGATTTTTGTGTGATAAAATTACCAGTATTCGGACTCGGGCAAAGGTGAGTCTGTTACAGACTGGTGGGTGTAAGCTGCATACCAGGAGCTGTAGATTTACCTCCTTCTCCCATTTATACAACAGTAAGAGCAGTGGATCTGCAGCTCTGCTAGCGCTCTCCTGGACATGCCTGCTTGTACGCACAGTCTTTCCAACACCTGACAAGAGACAGGGAGAAACATGGAAAAAACTGGTAGGTTCTTTTTGGTTTACAGAAATATCCTGTTAGAGAAAAGGTCTTAAATGTCTCTAATGTATTTTAAGTTGCTGAAACATTGCAAATAATTCTGAGCGTAACTGATAACGTCATGTTAAAATCCAGATTTACACAACAATCTTTTTTTTGCTTTCTGGTATATTTTGATCTCTCCTGTTCTGCTGGAGGTGTATAAAGTGTGAGAGTGGGGCAGTCTTGCCCCAGCGCGGCGTTGCTCTGTGTGCTGTGGTGTACACTGGTGTTTCTAGACTTGGGGTGCCACTGGTGCCTCCAAGGTGCCATCTACAGCACGACATGAGTTCCTTGTGCCTCCCTTGAAGCTTTTGCCTGTGATACCCTGTCAGGAAGTGTCAAGTAGCTTTTTACTTTCTTCTCACCTACTTTAACAACCTGAACCCCGCAGCCATGCTCATAACCCCTTGGCATATAGTTGGAATGCATTTTAAGAAGTGACGTAATCTGATGTACATTGCTGTACTCAAAGTTGGAGTTTCCAAAACTGGGATGCATGGTTCTACAGTGGTACATGTGAGATGAAAGCAACAGCAGCTGGTTGGAAGAACTTAGACGAACTAGGGACTTTCTCCTAAGCCGATTCAGCTAATCACTGGCATCTGACATGTCTTGTTTGATAGGAGCTTTCAGAGAAGTGGGTGCATGAAGGTTTTCTCGACTGTTTCCCTTGGCAGGTGGAGGTTCAGTGTTTGCTCCTTTTGGAAGTCCTGGGAGGCTCTCACAAGCAGGCGATAGATGGAGCCGTGAAGAAATTGAACAAGCTTTGGAAAGAGGTGACGTATACCTGGTGTCACCATACTCAAGAGCTGTTCTAGGTTCTGTTGAGTTAATGCGCTGGGCTCTTTTTCTCTTTAGAACCAAGACCTGGTGGATCAGTACCTCTCTCTCATTCTTGGTCTTGAACCAAACCAGAGTTACGCTGCGATGCTGGGACTTGTGGTGCAATTTTGCACAACTCGGAAGGAGATTGACACTATTAAAAGATACAAGGTAAATCTGTTGTACTGCTTTTTTGGGGGTAATAAGTAGCGTCACTTTTAATTTTGGAGAAGGGAGCTGAACAGATGTTTCAGTGGAGTTGGTGCTTTGCATCTGCCCCCATTCACTATCTCTCAGTTCAGTAGTCCTGCACTTTGACTAAAACAGCTGAGATGGGTTTACAGAGGAGGTACCAGGTATGTGGCTTTTTGCTGTGGCCTGTGCGCTTATGCAGGTGTCCAACACTGCAGCTTTCTGCCTTCTCCCCTGCTGCAGGAATGGAAGGCAGCATTTAACTCGCAGTGCATTTTGAGTGTTGGGCCGGAGAGTAGAGCAGAGAGTGCTGATCTCTGCCTGAGTATCTCATGTGAGGATGGAAGCAAAGCTTCTGCTTAGTGGGTAGGGATGAGGTGGGGTGTCAGGCCTGGCTTCCTGATGGTGTGTGGGGAGCTGTGTGTAGGATGTGATGTGATCCTAATCTGGTCTGTCTCCTTGTTCAGAGTCCTCTTCTGGATTTCTACTTGAAGACCATTCTGATGAGCAAGACAAAGCCTCAGAAGCATGTGCTGGTGAGACACACTCTTACAGAGCTGTTTGTGCTTTTGTCGTATGTGCGATGTCCACCGCTGTGCTGAGCACTTTATTCCTGTTGCAGGACAGCTGTTGCCCACTTCTTCGATACATGTCTCATGCTGAATTCAAGGATTTGGTTTTGCCAACTCTGCAGAAATCTCTTCTACGGAGTCCTGAGAATGTAATTGAAAGTAAGTCTGTCATCTCTCTGCGTTGCTCTGTCAAAGAGCATGAATAGTTGTTCCTTGGAGATCTGGAGCTGTTGGGAGAGCATTTCTCTCTGGACTGTGCTTTCAGTCCTGTGCACGCAGGCAGAAGGATTGTCTGGCATCCGAGGGTTAGATGTGGAGAAACTACATTTGTAAGTGTGATCCCAAGTGGCTGGGTATGTGATAGCTACTGCTTGCACTGAGGACACAATTTCACAGCTGAGTGCTAAGAATAATCCTGAATTAATCTCTTCATTGGGCATCAATTTCAGTATTTGGTGGGTTTTTTTCCTACTCTTTTCTAACCCTGTCTGCTCTTGATGTGAACTGTGGGGAAGAGTGTATTAAAATGCTAAAACCAATTACTTAACAAAATGTAATATGCCATTATCTCTTCCATCTTCAGCAATCTCTTGCTTGCTCGTATCTGTGAACCTGGATCTCAGCCAGTACGCTCTAGATATTGTGAAAGGACTGGCCAGTAAGTACTCTGATTTCTGGAGGGAATGATGAATTCTGACTATACCTATAACAGCTTGATTACTGGTGAAGAGGTTGTTTTATGTGGGAGGGAGGATGATGCTGTAACTCAGAACTGGAATAGTTCATGTGATAGTTCCAGAGCTGAGTCAAGCCACACGTAAAGATATCCTTGTCTTGCTGATGATACACAGTTTGTCATAGGGAGCTCTTAGCTTGTGCATTATTTTCTAGGTCATCTGAAATCCAACAGCGTGCAGCTGATGGATGAAGCAGTTGTGGCATTAAAGAACTTGGCTCGACAGTGTAGTGATCCTTCGGCTGTGGAGTCTCTGGGCAAACACCTTTTTGCCATCTTAGGGGGTGAGTGAATTGTAGGATAAGCAGTGGAGATGAGTAAAGGTTTGCCAGCTTCAAGGAGTTTTGTGTATTGTATTTTCTGTTGTCTTTAGCTGCCTGTGTGGTCAGGGTGGCTAAACCTGGATCAGGGATAATGGGACGAGCTTTTGTATTTTACAGAAGATTCTTGGTTGTTGTCTGTCTGCCTGTAAGTCAGCTGTCACCCACTTGTTTCTTGTTGGCAGGCTCAGAAGGGAAGCTGACGGTTGTTGCTCAGAAGATGAGTGTCCTTTCAGGTGAGGATCCTAGAAACAAGATGCTTCTCTGGTGGAAGAAATTCAGCAGAAGCCTGAATGAAAGGGATCTGTACTTAGGCCTTTAGGATTTCTTTGCCTGTCGTTCTGAATCGGCTGCAGTTGATGCCACAGAGGATGCTGGATACTATTTGCTGGTTCTTGACTTTATATTCGAAGGAAATAATTGGCTGCCAGGCTAAAATGTTTTAGCAAGATGCCTCTGTCCTGAGTGAAAATGAAGACAGATGTCCTGCGGTGTTGGTACATGGTGAATGTGACATCCAGATCTAGTGACAAGAAAGAAATGTCTGTGCAGGGATTGAAATGTGAGGGGTCATTCCTGAGAGTTTTTAGATTTTGCAGCAAGTGCTGGTAGTTTGGGAACTAATGAGAGAATTCTGTTCTTTCAGGGATTGGCAGCCTTAGTCACCATGTGGTTTCTGGATCCTCTAGCCAAGCTCTGACTGGAACCGTGGCTGAGCTTTTCATCCCTTTCCTGCAACAAGAAGGTGAGATCTCTTGCCTCTGTTGTGGATTTGCTAAGCTGCTTTTGGCCTGAGCAGGATGACCTGTTATTCAGGATAAATCCGGATTCTCACCTGTTGTGTTAGAAAATCTGTTGCCATTTTGATGAGCAGCCCCATGAGGACAGTGTTGGGTCTGTTGGAAGCACATGCATTCTTTTCCCACCTCCTTAAGTTGTTAACCACTTTTTGTTTTACGTCCCTGTGTTTTGTGCAGTTGCTGTACTGACATGAGCTCTATGTTACTTCCCAGTCCACGAAGGCACGCTGGTTCATGCAGTCTCTGTGCTGGCTCTGTGGTGCGTTCGGCTCACCACCGAAGTTCCTAAGAAGCTGGTGGAGTGGCTGAAGAAGGCCTCCAGCCTTAAAACCTCTACTTCGGCTGTCAGACATGCCTACCTGCAGTGCATGCTGGCCTCTTTCAAAGGTAAAACTGTGCAGCTATTAATAACTCTCTTGACTTTGTGGCTTAGGAGTAATCAACTTTTGTACTTCCCGATATAAGTAGATAGCTGTGTGGATTAAGGCCTGTATATCTGTTCACTGGCTTCCTTCTAGTTCTCTGTAAACGGTCTTTTACCTTCAAGTTTCTAAAGATGGTTTATCTCCTTGTATAACTAGTATCACTGCCCATCACGCTGTCTTTCATATAGCCCCAAGGTAATTTTTGCTTGCTTTGTTTCTGTGTTACATTTAAATGGCAAAGTTTCTAGCTCAGGGAACAGGTTTTTGTTATATATAGCACCAGCACACTGGCATCCTGGTTCATGGCTTTGGCTCTTGGAAGCTTTAAAAAAAACCCTACAAAAATTATTGCATTTGAAATGAAGATCTTTAAGTGCTCTAAACTTCTCATGATCCTTTTGAGATTTGCATCTGCTGATCCTCTCCCCTTTGACCTCAGCATTTCATCCAAGGCTGAACAAGCAATCGCCCCGATGGTTGTACACAAGATCTTCCTTTCTAATTGATGTAGCGCGAATCAAAAAGGGGGTGTGCGTTTTGCTTGAGAGATCAATAACTCAGTGTGTGGTGTAGGTGCAGTGGATTAGCCATCACTTTCTCAATATGTGAGTGAAATTGTAATTCTGTATTTTGTGTTGTAGCTACAAGGAATTTCTGTACTATCATAGGGCTGAAAAAACACTCTAAAAATTACTTAGACACCACAGGATGGCAGTCCTTTCAGAGACATCCGTGTGGCAAACCTGAAATTGCCTGGGCTTGCTGCAGGCAGGGGGCATTACTTGTGTGTGATGTGTGCAGCTGGTCAGGGGATTAAGGCTCAAGGTACTTATAATCTACTCACCCCTAGAACAACAGCTACTGTTGCTTTGACCCACCCATTTAAGCATTCAACTGGGACATAAAGAAAGTAGAGATTGTAACTCTTACTTGCAAATACTTACCGTAGAAAATCACAAGGTCTTTTGTTTCCTTTTTCAGTAGCGCGTACACGATGCTGCTTCTGGAAATACCATCTAGTTCAGTTTCTGAGGAATCAGGGGCCACAGATCAGCGGGATTCCTTCACATGTGAATGTTCATAGTAGAATGTATTGTCATCGCTTGCTGGGAATTTATTTGCCCTCTCTTAGGGAGGCATAATCTTTGAAGTCAGACTTGTGTTTTGAACAAATTCCTTTAATGTAACTGAATTAGAAACTCGTATTGAGGTGGGACTGTTTTATCTGCGAGGAAGAGTCTAAAGTGGTTATCATCCAACTTTCTACAGTGAAAGTTTAGTGATAGTAATGACTGGCAAATACTGTGGGAGATTGAGTCTTCTCAGTCTGTTTTCTTTTCTTGTCTTTGGAAGAAGCACTGATACCTTTGTGGTATAAAGTGTGAAGGACCGACCGTGTTGTTTTGTAACTTGTCTGGTTTTGTCTCCTCAGGCGACACGTTATTACAGGGAATGGACTTGCTGCCATTGCTGATCCAGACAGTAGAAAAAGCAGCATCTCAAAGTACTCAGGTTCCCCTGGTAACTGAGGGGGTTGCTGCAGCCTTGTTGATCTGCAGGATGTCTGTAATTGAGGGACAAACAGGTAAGGTCACAAAACATCTAGTAGAAGCCAATACAAACAGCTTCTGAGGGTTAACGCTTTTCTTAACAATGTGTATGAGATACTATTCCTTAATCTGTGTGGTGTTTCTGCAGAGCGAGTCATAGCCCTTTTGTAAACCAGGGAGAGATTTATTCCCGTCTCTCTCAGTTATGTCAGTGAAGAGTTCTTGCTCTTCCACGGTTTTGGGAATTCCAACTTCTGATCACACAGGGCAACCTTCCTGTTTATTCTCAGAGAAGACATATACTCAGACCTTACATGCTCGGGATTGATCGGCGCATTAAGAGTAGCACTTCGTTGTTACTTGGGTAGTATTTTTCCAGACCATCTTTAGAAAGCATGAGGACTGGAATTCTGTCTTCCATTAGAGGATACTACAGGAGCTGTCTGAGTTCATACATCTGCCAGAGTACAAAATCCAGGTGTGTGCTGTCTGTCAAAAGCAACACATCACTTCCCTTCTCTCCCTCAGTTTTAGGGAGGCTTGCCCTAGAAAAGGTTAAGGTGAAACAGACTTTACGTTTCACAAGTGTAAGTAAGAGAAATACGTTTGTGTCAGCAGGTGTTTCTTGGGTGCGCTTATAGTTCTGAGTGGGAGAAATGAGAGGCTTTATAGCTGGAGACATGCAAGAAGTAACTTGAGTGATTTCAGGAGACAGAATTCTGCTGTATTTTGTGTGTGCTAGTGAGTTCTGACTTATTTTGAAACATCCTTGATAGACATCTATTCTTTTTCTGTCAGAGTCTAAGCTGAGTGGTTTCTGGCAGCTGATTCTGGATGAGAAAAAACAAATTTTTACATCTGAGAAATTCTTGCAGTCTGCATCAGAGGAAGGTAAATTGTCACTTCTTGTGTATCCAGTTACTATTTACTCTATTACTTAGGACTCATAAGATCTAACGTTGCTATTAGCTCTGTTCTGTGAACCTTAAAGGATTTACTTTTAGATTAAAATGGACAATGTACTCTTGCAGAAGTAAATGTGGACTAGTTGTAGTCTGAGCTTGACAGTGAATTAATTTATTTCTTAATGAACCTGAGTTATCAAATGTTTAAAATGCCAGATTTATATATCCTATAAAAGTCTTTCCAACACAAAATGCAGCTGTGTGGTGTCTGAATTTGTAAGTAAACAGTTGCATCTGAGGAGTGTGGAGAAGCATAAAATGAAGATAAGATAGGAAAAGGTAAAATAAGGCTGGAGAAGAAAGCACGTAGGTTAAAATCTTAAGATACGTGGGGGAAGAGTAATAACAGGAAATCAATTGGGTTATAAATTAATGTCTCTGTGCTGTGTTTTGTTCTCTTCTGTTTAAAGATTAATTGAAAAAATAATAAAATTAATGGAATGTGCCCAACAGAAAACATTACTGGCTACATTTAAAACTTCTAGCTTTGAAAATGAGTCCTTGAACCACTTCTCTGCAATGAATTCATTTATCTTTTGTACAAATCTTTGAAAAGGCCAAGTTTTCTGAATAGGAAATAATATCATTTCACCTTTGCTTCCTGTGATCCGTGTTTCCTGAAGGCCCTGTGTGTATCCATTCATTCTCTCCCAAGTCTGCAAATACCTTGAAACAGCATGATCTGAGAAATTTTGTATCACTCCCTTAGAATGTTAGATCTGAAAACTAACGCTGAGAGTAAGCGTTGTGGTGATTTGTATTGGTTATTTAAGCAAAAACGTCCAGCTGACACGCTTGACATCCCCAACTGTCTGAAACCTTGAATGTCCGAAATGCCCTGTGCCATACTTCGTACGGGTCGCGGGGCTTTCTCCTGCTTTTGCGATGGGGTTGAACGTTGATGTACAAACAGAATGGCCTAGGGACAGCTGAAGCTCAGAAGATGGTGTGAGGTAAAATACCAAGGCTGCCTTCAAATTGCATTAAGCCCTTGGGTATGAATTCAATATACATTTCTTTTTTTCGTCACTGAAGGCATTTCGGCAGGGCTGGGGGATTAACAGTGTTGGCGCAGTGAGCGTGGCGTTTATCGTTTGGTTTGCTCTGTTGACTTGGACAAAAATAGGTCGCACGCAGCGGTCAGGAGAATTCTGCTGGGATCCATCTAACAACATTGCTGTGAAATCATGGTTCTGTTTCCAGCCTTGGCAGATCTGAGTTGGATTTGTCCCGAGCTTCACTGCGAAGATTCTGTAGGGACTCAGTTTGCGTAGCTATTTAATATGTCCCTTTTACTGTTTGTTTGTTTTCAGGTAAAAAAAAAACAACTAAAAATCTGTTTCCTTAGGCACTCTCATGCTATTTTAAATATTTGTCTTTTCCCACAGCGATGTGTACAGTGCTGCAACTGACCGAGCGCCTTCTCTTGGATCATGCACAACGACTGCCTGAAAGTAAAGTTCAGTACGTAGAGCCCACTTGCTGCCACTGATCCTTGTCTTGTCTCTGAATGTTAATGCAGGCAGTGGAGAGGGTGGCCTTGGGACTTTCCACAAAATGCTGACTTTTTTGTGCTTTTGTGTCCAGTTGGTTTGCAGAGCTGCCTCTCTTGCTAACCCTGTTTATTTCTCCGTTTTCAGGCAGTATCACCGTGCCCTTGTTGCAGTACTGCTCAGTCGGACCTGGCACGTTCGCAGACAGGCCCATCAAACTGTTAAGAAGCTCCTGTCCGCTCTGGGAGGGTACAAGCTGGCCTATGGGCTCTTGGAGGAGCTGAAAGTGGTTCTCAGTTCTCATAAGGTGAGTTGTCAAGAAGCTTGAGCTCTGCTTAGACAGTTGTTTGTACGTTGCCAATCACCTCCCTACCCTGGATTTGCTGTTTTTATTGACATACAGAGATGATTCAGTCCTAGGTGATCTCTGAGAATGCTGGTTGTTACTAGATCACTGCATATTGCTCTATCAGTGTCTCTGGTGTGCCTAGTCTTTCTAATACACTCAAAAATTACTTGTGGAGAAAGCTGCAGTTTTCTGTGTCCTTCTATTATTTTAATCCAGATAAAATTCCTGCCAGAAGACCAAATGCTTAGTTCCTTTTTTAGTATCCTGGTTCTTTAGTCCTGGCTTTATAGCCCACACTGACTATGGAAAACAAATACAGTATAAATACTTCAGTGGCAACTATTATAAAAAGTAAAATTTAAAAAAGAAATAATGAGTGCTACATTATTGTGCGTGCTGCTAAACCAGCACTGTGTCAACTTCTGTAACAGTTCAGGTTGCATTAATCAGGTACCAAGGTTGCGACTTCATAAGTAGTCTTCCCATGTCACGGATGCAGCATGAATAAAGTATTTTTGAAAAAATACTGGGTAAAATTAGACTGCAGAAGTTGGGCATACTGTTCCCAGCCAGCTGGTTCAACCTCTTCCAAAGCCCTCTTTGCCAAAAATGATCATTTTAGTTTTATTTTACCCCAGCATGCCAAATCTAGTATAGTTCTCTGTTCTTAGTCTTTCTATCACTGTCATCTCTGTGCTTCAGTTCCACTGTGTCTTTTATCCCTTCTTTTTGTTGAAAACTTCAGATTGTTGGTGCTGATGGAGGGAGTGGATTGGTGGTTTTCAGGATGGTGTTACTGTAGGGAAGTGAGCTCAGGGCTCAGGAAGGCTCGGTGTGTTGTGTTAATGACAAGTTGTCCACTCAGGTTCTGCCTCCTGAGGTCCTGGTGATGGAGTCAGGAGAGCTGTCGGAGCTGGGAAAAACCTACATTCCTCCCCGTGTCCTTCACGAGGCGCTCTGTGTCATCTCAAGCGTGGCAGCGCTCGATGTGGATTCCTTTGAGCCAGAAAAGCTGGCGCTGGAGATGTTGCTGATGAGCCATCATCCATCTGTAGGTAAGTGAAGGGATAAGACCACTCTCACAACCAACATCATGGGTTTGTTTGTTTTTTTTTTAATATTACCATTTGGTTTCATTGTGTTAGCAATCTTTCTTCATATTTATCATGCTCGTTGTTTCTTTTTGCTAGTGGCAGTGCAGCCAGGTCTTTGGCCAGCCCTCCTCATCAAGATGAAGATAGATCCCAAAGACTTTATTAACAAACACCTGAGCGACATATTACCCAGGATCACTGCCTACTCTCCAGAGAATCAGGTGATAAACTTCTGCTTTCCTTGTGTTGGTTTTGGAAGATACTGTGGAACAGGAGAGTTTTCTTCAGGAGTTAAGTACGAACTGGTCTCTGAGGAGGGAGATCTGTCTAAAAGATGGAGAAAAGGCAGATTCAAAGAGAATGTCTTATGAAAAGAAGCTGAGATCTAAAGGGGGAAAGAATATGTGCCAGCAACCAATGAGCATTTTAGATAAGGTTCAGCTACCCTCCAAACAAGGAAGGAGAACATGGGCTGCTTCAACTGGCACACTTTTCTGAGACAATTTCAAGGATTACCAGTAATCATGTTCTTCCCTTTGTTTTCTTGGTAGTCATCTATGAATGCAGTGGGATCTCTCTCTCAGCTTTCACCTGGTAGAGTGCTCCCACAGCTCATCAGCACTATCTCGGCATCAATGGAGAATCCAGCTCTGTGCCAGGTTACGCGAGAGGAATTTGCCATCCTGAAGACACCAGAGGGAGAACTGTATGACAAATCTATAATACGGAGGTAAGACTTTTTAATTTTTCTACGCACCGGAGGATTGATTGCTGCTGGCAGCTAGCCAATGGGTGAGTGGGTTTGTCGGGTGCTCTTTCGGGACAGCAGTTCCCGGATTTGTGTGCTGATTCTTTTCTCTACTTCTCAGTGCTCAACAGGATAGTATGAAAAAGACTAACATGAAGAGGGAGAACAAGGCTTATTCCTTCAAGGAACAAATAATTGAACTGGAGCTGAAAGAGGTGAGTTGAACAGAAAAGCCAGCAGTTAAGCTCCTTACACCAGGCAATCTCATCTGTTTCGGTGCCTGGCTTCTGGCCCGTGTGTGTGTACGCTTTTGGGAGATTCTCTGAACTTGTTTGAGTACCTCATGTTCTTTTATATCTGTACACATCAATTTTTTCTCTTATATCTGTATTTGTATGAGTATATTGGTACTGTATTTGTTCATGAGTGTGCTTACTAGTTGGTAATGTCTTCTTTTTTCTCTTCCTCTCTTGTTCAGTGTATCTCATGTAACTTTTTTGGGGAAGGGTTTTTAAATAGGTGCTTCCGTTTTGTCGACAGCCAGTAGTTCTGTTCAGTCTGGCCAGAGCAACGGGTGTTGGTGGGGGGAAGAATTTGGTGAAAGGAAGGGAACGTATCAGGTTGATTGGAGCATTCTTTCATTAAAAGTTGCCTTCTGTTTGCTCTGGGGAGCGTGACATGCCCATCCACTCCAGAAAGAGCTGGACAGCTCTTTTTAATGGTACCAAATGTTCTGTGACCAACGTAAATATGGGAGATACTGATGTTATGCTGCTAATGGGGACTAAAACGTTGTGAACCTGCTGATTTCCATTTTGTGTTTTCACTTGAGTGATATTTGAAAGAATATTGTGATACTGCTTTAAAAGTAAATTGCAAGAAACTCCAATGTGTCAAGCTTGCTTCTCTACTTAATTGAGAACTACCTGCCTCGCAGTTGAGGAGATGGTGTTAGTAGCTCCCAGTTAATAATGCCCATGGCTCTCTACTGCAGGAAATAAAGAAGAAGAAAGGAATAAAGGATGAGGTGCAGCTCACTAGCAAGCAGAAGGAGCTGATGCATGCACAGCTGGAAAGGGAGTCTCAGATAAGGAAGCGTCTGAAGGAGGTAGGTTTTGATGGTCTTTTTTTGCCAGCTCTGCAGCCAGTGTGACCCAAGTAATTTTGATAAAAGGAGAACGGAGTAGCACAGAGAATATTTGGCAACAACCCATTTGTTTCTTTCATTAGAAAGAAGATTTAAAACTTGATTTTTTTTTTTCTTCTGATGGATTTTTTTATGATAACCTTTTGAACTATTTCTGTTACAGCTTGATAATGAGCTGGAAACAGCTCTAGGACTCCTGGACACTGTTATAAAGAGAAAGCCTCCTGGTCTAACTCAGTACATCCCTGGTCTCATCGGTTCCTTCCTGCCACTTTTTCGATCACCTTTGGCTGCTCCAAGGATTAAGGAACCTTTTCTTTCCTTAGCTTCCTGTGTCATGCCTGCTCGACTGAAAACCTTCGGTTAGTATTTGCAATCTCTGTTTGAGGGCAGGGTGTGTTATTTTTTTATGGCAGGGAAGTGAAAATTCTTGCTCTTACAATCTATGGATCATGCCCGTGTACCACAGAAAGCCAAGAAGAAAAGCCACCCTGGAACCGTGCTTAGGGAGATCCCAGAGATCCTGCTGCTGGACAGGACTAGTTCCCAGGACAGGGAGTTTTCTGGTCATTGTGGCCAGCTCTCAGTAGCAGTTGGTCGCAGTGTGACTGCCTTCCCAGTGCTCAGTTGGGAGGGTATGAGTGTAACTCGCACATTGAACTGTTGTAAAGAAAGTTGTCCTGCATAAGCCTGGGGCTGTGCTTCCTTCTCGGTGCCTCTTTTGCCCAGAGCTTTGTTATAATTCTTGGGTCCGTGTTCCTGATGCATTTGTCTCTTGAGAAATGTTTGAGTTTAGTCCTCTCATGGATTCATTCTTTTCTTACCAGGTACTTTAGTGAGCCACGTGACCTTGCGCCTGATGAAACCAGAATGTGAGTTAGATGAATCCTGGTGTCAAGAAGAGCTCCCTACTGCTCTGAACAGAGTGGTTAGCTTGCTGCATGCCCACACCATTCCCAGCCGAACAGGCAAGGGAGAGCCAGGTAAAAAGTACTACAGGCTCTAACATTCCCTGAGCTCCTCAGTAACTCTGTGAGCTGTTTTAGATTTGATGGTTGGTGTAATGTTTTATAGGTGAGACGAAACAAAATCAACTAAGTCTTCACAGATATGAAAAACTAGATTATTTTTGTGGTGGTGGTAGTAGAAATGATGTTGCAAGTACAGTAAGCACGTTGCCAAAAGTGTAGAAATGAAGTAACAGTATTTTTTATTAAAATGGTTCGTGCAGAACTAATAGCAGTGAAATTAAGGCTCATCTTTGCCAAGGACAGTTCCTGCCTTTCAACACCACTTAGCATAAGTGATTCAGTGAGACTAAGTAGAAAGACAAAATAATTGCTTGTGATCCCAGCAGTGAAGTGCCTGTGGCCTCTGTTTGCTGTGTAGTGCTGCAGTTCATGAATATTTTATTCTGACACAGTTGTAGAAGAAGCAGTTCTTTCCTGCTCTGGAACACGAAGGCAAGCACCAGTGTTTTTACATTGCAAGAATACCATCTGGGTTAAAATGGACCATTTTTTCTTGATTTTATTTTTGTTTTCTTTTTTCCACTGGATTAGTTTTAATCTAGATCACTTCCAGAATCTGCTCCATAGTGGAATCCACAAGTACTTGTATCGCTACATTGAAGACATTAGGACAGAAGAGAGAGGGCAGGTCCTTCCTTTGGAGGCAGGGATGGCTTAGGCTGTCTCAGAGCTTCTGGTGTGATGGAGGTGGTTCATCAGGTTCAGAGTTGTTCATCACCTAGCTCAGGCAAAAGCTGCTGTGGTAGATGGTTTATAATTTTTTAAAGGAAATAGAGGATTCTGTTTGGTCTCTTGCCCCAGCAGTTCAGTTCTCCTCTTACTGTTGGGTTGCCAGCCAGCTCCGCGGTTGTGTGGCTGCGGCACGTGTAACCTTCATGGCTGAGTAGTGCCCCTTGGCCACACTGCGCAGCTCTTCAGTGCTCAACATCTCAGTGATAATTCAGTGTCTCCACCGTGTATTTTATTTCCATAGTAAGTGCAAGGTCATTAACATTTGAATCAGTTTTCAGGCTTATTTCCAGAAAGCAGTGGAAGTATTTTCAACGCTTGTCCTGAAAAATTTCCTTCAGTGCTTACTTAAATTAGTATCTGATTCATTTTTTTTTCCACTCCTGCAGTAGAAAAGGGAGTAGGTTCCACAGCACTTTGTTGGACAGGTTATGTTATATTTTCACATGATCTTTCCTCATTTTCAAAGTTCTCTGGAGTATAGTCTTGCAGTATTAGGTAGCAGAGGTTAGTTTTTTAGTTTCTTAGGTTACCGTGAGACCTAAGAGAGACCATACCTCATTATAACGTAGATGATAAAATTTATAATCCACTGCTGAAATGCCAAGACACATTTTATAATATTTTTTTGTAGTGGTCAATACCAGCTACTGCATTAATAGAACATTTATCTTCTCAGAGAATGCTTTCTTCCTCCTATTGCATATAGAGGGATAGTCACTTAAGCCTAAACATATCTGGTCAATAAATGACAAAACCAAAAGAAACAAACAAAAAAAACAGATGAGAAAACAAAAAATCAAACAGATACTGAGCAATTGGAGAGAAAAATGCCACGTCAGATGTGGAGGGGTTTTACCTAAACCACTCATGCTAAATAGTTAGGAGCTCACACTGTGGTGGATGTTTAATATTTCTCCCTTGAACTACTTTTGCAGGATCTGTGGCCTACATAAGCTGACTAATACTGCAGTATTGTATCTGCGGTGCTTTTCATCTGCATCTTAGAAATTTAAAATCTCACATTCTCTGACAGCACAGACAGAATGTAGAAAACAAGCATTATCCCTAGATGACTAGTGCTTGAGGATTTCTAATGTCCCATAGCGAAGCCCTCATTAGAAGGAAGGATCAAAATCTTTAGCAAGGAGACTGAAAAAGCTTTAATTTTTTCAAGCGGGGAGGGGAGTTGAGACTTGAGTCAGAACTAGAGAAACCTTTTCTCAAGGACGCAGCTGAAGACTGGAATGCTAGGCTAGCTAGGTTGGTAGGAAATGTTTAAAGGGAATATAGCTGGCAAACAGGCCCCTGCTTTGACAGTGAAGTAGTTAAACTGTATCAGGTCCCTGTGTGGATCCTCCTGCTCAGAAGTAAAATTGACCTTTTTGGGGTTTTTTAATTCTGAGTGTATGCACAAACTTTATGCGCTTTAAGTAACAGTGTTTATTTCAACTTCGGTTGTGTGATGGGTTTGATTTTGCGTCCCGTCCCTCCTTGCCCATATCCATTATGTGCTACCAAAGTGTAGTTTTACACCAGTTGATATTATAAAACAGACATGCGTAGTGTTATAACAGTTGGAAATATAACAAGATCAGCTATACTCACAGGACTGTTACTTCTTTTCACAGCTGCTGCCCCATTATCAGCTCCAGCGTTTTCCTTAGTCTTTCCTCTCCTAAAGACTGTTATGACTGACACCCCTCAAGATAGTGAAGACAAGGAGGAGTTTCTGGTCAAGATTCTGCAGATCCTGACGGTCCATGCTCAGCTGAGATCCTCGGCAAATGGCCAGGCTTTGCTGGTGGATGAGGTGAGATCTGTGGGGTCCAGATGACCATCAGCAGTTGTTGAGATGCGGCATGGGATGAAACAGCTAATGGCTGAACTGGACAAAGCAGATTCATTCTGCAAGTTGAAGTTAACAATGTAAGATTGTTTTTCTGTCACAGGTTTTGGTTACCTGTGCAGCCCTAGGTTTTGCTTGTGGTTTTTATGAGGTGTGTCATACACAGCAAGGTATTTTGGAGTCACAAGATATAAAGTTTTTTCTCCTTCCTTCTCCTTTTCTCTCCCCAACCTTTCAGAATGGCCCAGAGTTGCTGCCCCGGAGGGACATGCTGGTTCTGCTGACGCAGGTGGTGGGAACAGGTTCTCCACGGCTACAGGTGAGTTTGCTCAGCTTCATCACCACAGTGAGGGTTCTGCCTAAGTTTCATCAGCATTTAACTGAGGGAAATACACCCAACTGGTTTAAGTCTCTGAGGCTGGTGGTTATGAATTTTCTCCTATGTTTGTGATATTCTTTTTTGGGATAAAGTGCCTGTATCATTTCTGCTGTTCGCTTTATTGCACAAGACGTATTCTTCAGTTTTCCACACATGACATTTTATTTCTTCTCTAAGGCCTGGCTCTATCAAAGCAGTTTAGAACAAACACCTGGGGACTGACTGCTGAGATGGCAGAAGGGTCAATAACACAAAGGCTTGAACCGAACTCACCAGCTCTTGTTTTCATCATGAGCCCTTGTCACTGTTCTTTGAAAATTTTTTCTCTTGTGACAGCACTCAGCCCCCAGCCTGCACTTGCTTTGACCAAATGCCCAGTGGCAAAGGGCAGTGATGGAATCTTTAATACTTCCTCGTGGCATTTTAGGTTTTGGCTTCTGATGCACTGACCATCCTGTGCGCAAGCAGCAGTGGGGAGGACGGCTGTGCCTATGCGGAACAGGAGGAGATCGATGTGTTGCTTCAGGCCCTGCAGTCTCCATGCATGAATGTCCGAGATGCAGCTCTCAGGGTAGGTGGGAGTCATTCAGGCTCACAGTGAATTCCTTAATTTTTGAGGGGGTGAATATTCTCTCACACTGATGAAGAACGGCTTCGGGTGTGATGCCTGTCTCTGGGCAGTGTCTGCAGGAGGAGGCAGTAGCTACTGAACAATAATACCCCAAGTAATGCTCTTTATGCTGTTTTTATCATGCAAAAAGGAGTACTCTGGGTCTATCCACACCTCTGTTTTGTTAAAACAAGTGTAATTATGACAACTTAACAGCTTCTATTTACACTTGCATAGAGCTTAGTCCTAAAGAGAGAAGCTGTCAAAAAAATCCCATGTCTGTATCAAACCCAGTATTTTTTGAAAGCTTCAGGCTTAGTCACTTCTGAGAACATAAAAAAGAAAAAAAACCCCAAGGGTGCTTAATTTGCTTTGCCATGAAACAATTTTCAGCTTAGGTCACCTGAGCCAGCTTCTTTGGACTTGGAAGCAGAAAAGACTGTAGTCACCAGAGCACAACCTAGTGCCTAGTTGCCTCGCTGCAACCTGCCTGCAGAGCCCTCTGGAGTTTCACCATCTCACCTATTAGCACCAGGAGGTCCTTGATCTGCACAGGCTCTGTGCTGCACACAAATGTGCATTTTGACGCTTCTGACCACTCAGAGCTTGACCTGGCAAAGGTTTTAAGTGTTTTAAAGTATCTGTTTCTAAAATCAGATCCTTGCACTGATTCTCCTGTAAACTAATTCAGGGACTGATGGAGCTGCAAATGGTTCTACCAACCCCAGATAGTGATGAAAAGAACGGACTGAATCTGTTGCGTCGCCTTTGGGTAGTAAGGTTTGATGTGGAAGACGGGATTCAGAGGCTGGCAGAGAGGTAAGAGTTCTTCCTGGCTGATTGGACTGTGAGGGGACCTCTCTTCTGCCCACCTCGTGGAGCTCTTCTGGCAGGGGTTTTGTCTCCCGCAGTTGGAGAGGAGCTTTAGGTCATGCTTCTCTCGCTGAAGGGTGATCGGTCACCTCTTCGTGTGTGCTGCAGGTTATGGGAGTCCATGGGTCTGGAGCTGCAGCCTGACCTCTGCTCTCTGCTCATCAAAGACGTCATCTACCATGAAGAGGCAGTGCGGCAAGCAGGAGCTGAAGCTCTTTCCAGAGCTGTAGCTCAGTATCGAAACCAAGCGGCAGAGGTCATGAATAAACTTACAGAGATTTACCAGGAGAAGCTTTATGTAAGTACTCTTGTCCTAAGGGGTCGACAGGCACAAGCTTGTGCTATATTTTGTATTTTTTATTAATCACTTTCATGTGTCTTGAGGAGGATACACATGAAGCCTACTGTTGCTATGTGTTTCCTTATCACAGACTTTATTGTCTTGGTCCTCAAGTTACGAGACAGTAGTGGCATCGCCTCACCGGTGTACAATGTGACTTAAGAGATACAGGAAGATTGAGGCAGAGCAGGGGCTGGAGTCTAAGTCTTTTGTGCCCAAGCTAGGTCTCTGCTAGTGGTGTCATTTTTTACCATGCTCTTCTGATAGTCGTATCGTACTTCTGTGTTGCATTTTGGAAATGGCATTGCAGGCATGCTGACAGCATTCTCTGTGCGTGTGTCCTTGGAAAAGGCGTTCTGATGACATTGTTTTCCTTGCAGAGGCCACCTCCAGTTTTGGATGCTTTGGGACGAGTAATATCTGAATCACCACCTGACCAGTGGGAAGCAAGGTACAGTCATCCTCAGATTGATCTCATCACTTCCTCTGTATGCAGATGAGATTTTCCAGATCTTTATTTAGAAGTTGAGGCAGTGGAGAAAGAAGGGAATGCTGAAGGAACAAAATAGGTGCAGTTGTGTTCGTGTACTGGTTTCATGCTTCCTTCTAGCAGAGAATGTTTGTGACCCTCAAGCAGGCTGGGCAGGCCAAACTGAAATGCTCTCAGTTCCATCAGAATATCCGGTGTTACCTTCTCTATATCATTCTGATAAGAACAGACTGTTCCCTTCTCAGACTGTCTGATTTGTGTCTTATCTTACTGTATTCCCTCCTCTGTGCGGGCAATTGATTGTTTCAAGAGCAGCAGTGTGAGCCTTAATGAAATGGGCAAAATCCAGTTTGGATAATTACTTTTTGTCTATTCGTATGCCCTGTACGGGTTTATCTGGAGACAATCTTGTTCGCTACCTGTCTAAAGCTAATCTCTTCTTCAGAGCTGATGTACCTTGGTGTAAAGCTGCTGCACTTCAGCTGTAGATGAAGTGATCCTGATATCTGTCCTTGTTGGCCCAAGTATCTGTAATGCTTAATCAGGATAAAAGTCATCATATGGCCGAAGGATTGTTGCCCTTTTGGGAACCTGCAGCATGGGGTTAGGCAATGAGATGCGTGTAGGTTGGACACTCTGAAGCTCTTTGGTTTTGTTATGGTTCTCTTTCTCGGTTTCTGTTGATAGCAAATGCAATTGTGACCTGAAGCAAATTGTGTCACAAGTCAGTAAACTCACAAGCTCGCTGTCTTTACAGGAGCGGCATAGCTTTGGCTCTCAACAAGCTCTCACAGCATCTGGACAGTTCTCAGGTGAAGCCCCTCTTCCAGTTTTTTGTACCGGATGCTCTGAATGATCGCAATCCTGAAGTCAGGAAGTGCATGTTAGATGCGGCTCTTTCAACCCTCAACACTCACGGCAAAGTAAGTCTGAATGCTTCTCTCTAACAGTGGAAAAAAGTGGGATGGAAAATGTAGATACTGTGTTGGAGCCCCTAGGGGTTCTAACGTTTTTTTCTTAGAGGTTGCCATTACTTTTAATAGCTAAAAACTTTCATGTGGGAGGAATTTTTGTGTGTTTGTAACTGTTCTGTTAGTGACTAGTGTTGACTAAAAGTGTATTTTTTCATTGCAATAAAAAAGAAATAGTGCTGAATTAAATGGAGTTAAAATGGTATAAAGCTAGAATAGTAGAAGTAAAACCAGACCACAGATTTTTTTTTTAATCCTGGGAAGGTGAGATTTCTCTTTCAATCCTTACGCAAAGCAAAACATGAAAGCTTGCTGATCATTGACTTAATTAAACTGGAAACAGCTGAAGTCATTCAGAGAATTGAGGACCATCCTCGTCACTGCCAGCTCTTCTCCCGCAGTGCTCAGTGCGGGGGGTGTGCAGGGTGTAAATTGCTCAGCATCTGATTTCCTCCTCTGTGCAAGTCACATCTTCTGGACAACCCTCTGCATTCCTGTTAAGTCCAAGACAATTCGAGTATTCTCTTATTGTTCATTTTTCCCTTCTGTTTCTTAGAAAAGCAGCATGAAGTTTTACCTTTCTGTTCTCCTTTTGCAAGTGGAAGAGCAGGCACTGATGTTTAGGCTGGCAGTCTTGCCTCATAGCTTGCATTGCATCTGGCGGGACATCGTGCTGGCAGGTTCGGGGTTCTAATTTTTAAGAGCTAACTTCTCTCTAGCAGGAAATAATTGTTGCCTTTCAGGTTGGCACGAGGTTTATGTGATATGACACATTAAATGATCTGTAAATACAGTGTGATTGTTCAGTTTGTTGGCTCAGAGAAGAAAAAACAAGTCCACTGAGCATAACAAATCTCATTCTGAGTGGACTCTAGTGGCAAGTTCTGTGGTTTTGTTTTTCAGGACAATGTTAACTCTCTCTTGCCAGTGTTTGAAGAATTCCTGAAAAATGCTCCTAATGATGCCAGTTACGATGCCGTCAGGCAAAGCGTGGTCATTCTGATGGGTTCACTGGCAAAACATCTGGACAAGAGTGACCCTAAAGTGAAACCAATTGTTGGCAAACTGATAGCAGCCTTGTCCACACCATCTCAGCAGGTAGGTGCCTTCCTGGAGGAGTTCTCAGGTTCCACGCAGAGGCAGGTTAACGCTGTGATACTTTCAGGGATGCCCGAGAGATGAAAAATGTCTCTGGTGACCCACGGTCGTTGTGGGTGCAGTCTAGGGGGAATTCATGCTGGTGATGAATATTCTGTGATCTGATAGCTGCTGGATTGTTTTCCAGGTTCAAGAGTCAGTGGCAAGCTGTTTACCACCTCTGGTGCCTGCAATTAAGGAGGATGCAGGAGGAATGATACAGAAGCTAATGCAGCTGCTTTTAGAGTCTGATAAGTATGCTGAGCGTAAAGGTGCGGCTTACGGGCTGGCAGGTCTGGTGAAAGGCCTTGGCATCCTTTCTCTGAAGCAGCAGGAGATGATGACCACACTGACCGATGCTATCCAGGACAAGAAGAACTTCCGTCGGCGTGAGGGTAAGGGACAAAAGCCTTTCCCTCTGAATACTTAGTATTTCTCTTGTACGTGGTCAGATGAAGTGATACTCGGGCTTGGTTTATCTCCATTTATTTTACTGAAGTTTGCAGAGGAAGGAATGGGGAAGTGTCTGTCGTGAGGCCATTGGTTGCGTAGAGCATCCTGAAATTGCTCTGGTTGCATCGTGTTGGAAGAAGGGTTTCTGGTCCCAGACAATGTGTGTGCGTCCTTCCCTCCTGTTTTCAAAGGCACATGCTCCTGCAGGGGCTCCAGCTCCCCGTGAAACAGCACATGTTCCGGTCCCGCTGGTCCAGAGCAGCTCTCACAGCCCAGTCATTCCTTGTGCTGCTGGACATTTCCTCACTTACCTAAGCTTGGACTCAGAGGACTGTTACACGTTTTTAATGCTACTAAGCTTCTTGTCCTTTCTGATGCTTAAAAATCCCCACCACAGGGCTAGCCACAAGTGCAAGAAGGCAAGAAGCTTTCAGCTGTGAGATTTGAAAATTATTTTCGAGAAATTCTACAAATATATTCCATTTTTTATATTCTTTTTCCATCCTCTTTAAATGACTTTGTATTTTCTTGTGACTGCCCTTTTTATTTCCTTAGGTGCTCTGTTTGCTTTCGAGATGCTCTGCAGCATGCTTGGAAAGCTCTTTGAGCCCTATGTGGTTCATGTGCTGCCTCACTTGCTGCTTTGTTTTGGAGATGGGAACCAGTACGTACGAGAGGTAAGGTGCCTTAACGTTTTTGAGAACATGGAGTGTTAAGAGAAAACCGAAACGGAGTGGGTGTTGAATACTGTTTGTAACTAGGCAAGTTAAGAAGGTGACTGATCCCTTGAGATACCACTAATAACAGTTTGATCTTCTTAACAACTGAAAGCATGTTATTCCATTGGCCGTTAATTGGGAGCTAGTTGGCTTGCTGCATCCTTGTACTTGGACTCTGTTTTACGTGAAGGCTTTGTTCCCACTGAGCCTCTGAGGAAGGAAAAAACCCACGTGTCGAGGCACAGCTTGTAAATGTTCTCTTCTCCTTGGAGGCTGCAGATGACTGTGCCAAAGCTGTGATGAGCAACTTGAGTACTCATGGAGTGAAGCTGGTTTTGCCATCACTTCTTGCAGCACTGGAAGAGGAATCTTGGAGAACTAAAGCTGGTATGGACCAATATCTGACTGACATTATTGAGAGTAACCCACAGTTCCCTTGGCTCTCATTCCCCTTGTTTATTCTTTCATCCATAAGGGACTGTGGAACTTAGAGCTTTTGAGATACAAAGGAGTTTGCTGATGCATTCGAGCAACTGTTTTTTCCCCCAGCAGATTCAAGGGACACTTTTTAGCCTATCTCTCTAGAAGTACTCCAGAATCTGGAAGTTTCCTCCCCCACTTCTTTTCCCTAGTGCGAAACCAAACCAACAAACTAATAGAATTTTTCTCATCTTTTAAGAGGCATAGAGTAGCTTAATATATTTCCACCATTCTGTGTGTTCTGTGGCTGGTAGATTTGAGTTTGAGGTAAATGTGATCATCTTCTCATACCTCTTCTTAATGCTGTGTATTGTTTTCTGTTTTGTCTTTTTTTTCTTTTTTTCTTTTCTTTCCTTTCTTTTTGTGTACTTCCTGCACAGGATCAGTGGAACTGCTGGGGGCCATGGCGTACTGTGCTCCCAAACAGCTTTCCTCTTGCTTACCCAATATTGTGCCCAAACTTACTGAGGTGCTCACGGATTCTCACGTGAAGGTGCAGAACGCAGGCCAGCAAGCTCTCAGGCAGATTGGGTCTGTCATCAGGAATCCCGAGATCCTGGGTAAGAACTGTCTGCATCTCTAACATCCTGACATGACCATGGGGTATAATAACATTGTTTATGTTCACAACACTTAGGATCAAATCTAAACTTCTGTGGAAGTAAAACTACCTCTAGAAAAATGTAACATTAAAGCTTAACAGCAGCTGCCTGCTTCAAGGCTTTTTGAATGCTCCGGTCCATTTTGTCAGCTAATGCTAACAGGGTTTCCTCCGTCCCTGTGCTGCTAGTTGCTTTAGAAGGATTGAAAACATCCCACGAGCTAACAGCAGCTCACCCTGATGTGTGTTTTTGTTCCGTGTACAAATAAAGTCTTTTCTCTCCTTTTTAAAAACATTCAGCAATCGCTCCAGTTCTGTTGGATGCTCTCACTGACCCTTCCAGGAAGACCCAGAAGTGTCTACAGACTCTGCTAGATACCAAATTTGTCCATTTCATTGATGCTCCGTCCTTAGCACTGATCATGCCAATTGTTCAGAGAGCTTTTCAAGATCGTTCCACGGACACCAGGAAAATGGCAGCCCAGATCATTGGAAACATGTACTCCCTGACTGATCAGAAGGTACAGTGCTAAAAAAACCTCTCTATGCTGTGTTTTCTGTGTAGGAGATAACACAGAGAATTTATTTGGGTTTGGGATTTTGCTGTTAAGGCAGATAGTATTAGAATCTGCACAGCTTCTTTAATGAAATATATGTACATGAACAGATAATGGCTATAAAGACAGTGGCAATCTGTCAGCTTTGTACTTTGGTCATCTAGTTATTGCCAGATTTATCCCTACAAAAAGGTCTTGTCATTTTTACCGTGTAAGAAATGCCTTAACAAACAAATAAGCAAAACCAGTACCAGTGAAACGCAGATCAGCTGCTTACAGATGGATACAGGTCTGTTTGAAAAGTATTTGCAGAACCTCACTGTAGGCTAAAGATGTGTGTTTAATTTTTGTGATGATAAGCTCCACCTTTAAACCTTGTGTAAATGTTAAGCGTTGGATTTCCTTAGCTGTAAAGTGCTGGGTTGTGAGTGAGCATTGAAAAGGTTTTGAGTGATGTGCACAGGACCAGTGTTGTTTCTTGGACTTGCAGAACAATTCAGCATGTTCATTCACAGGATCGTGAAAGCGACTGGTTAAACTCTCCTGATGTTAAGGATGATTGCTAATGATAAGGAGCTGAATGACCTTTACACGAAGGCAACTTACATTTCTTTCCTTTTTTGAACCTAGTTCTTACTCTTCGGGCTCTTTGTTTCAGGATCTGGCTCCTTACCTACCCAGCGTGACTCCTGGACTGAAGGCATCTCTGTTGGATCCCGTACCTGAAGTAAGTCTTCTGTACAAGTACGGTTTGTCTTTCGGGGCATTAGGTTAGACTTTGTCCTAATCGTCTGTAGCTCTCTAACCAGTCTGACGTATCTGCCTCAGCAACTTTGACTGGATATTTTGCAAATCTCTGTTTCTTTCGTCTGTTAGGTGCGTACCGTGTCTGCAAAGGCACTGGGAGCCATGGTCAAGGGAATGGGAGAGTCGTGTTTCGAGGATTTGTTGCCATGGCTGATGGAGACACTGACATATGAGCAGAGCTCAGTGGACCGATCTGGTGCTGCTCAAGGTGAGGACAGCTGTGTCCGAATTCCGAGCTCAGACTTCTCCTGTTAAACCAGATTAGCTGCTCATTTCTTGTGTATATCGGCTCTGTTCCTTTTTTTGCCCCAGGTCTGGCTGAAGTTATGGCTGGTTTGGGGGTAGAAAAGCTGGAGAAACTTATGCCAGAGATTGTAGCTACTGCCAGTAAAGTGGATATTGCTCCGCATGTACGAGATGGTTATATCATGATGTTCAACTACCTGCCAATTACCTTTGGAGACAAGTTCACTCCCTATGTTGGTCCCATCATTCCTTGTATCCTTAAGGTATGTAGCAGAGGCCTGAGAAGTTTTATTTATTAAAGGATAAAAAGAAGCCTCTGGAGTATTTTAACCGTCATGTGCAGTAACTGTGGAGCATGCAGAAACTTATCCCGAATTGGTGGACTATAAAAAAAAATTATAAATTATTTCTTTCTTCCAAGATATCTGCTTGCTGTCTTTTGTTTGCAGTCACTAGTAATTTCTTGAAATCACCTCTGTGCATTCACAGCTCTGTAGTTCATTTACTTTTCATGGCTGAGAGAGAAAACATTGTTTGGTTTCCCTCCTGTTGGTTTTGTATACTGTGCTGAAACCCCCAGCTTTCACAGGCGCTTTTCTGTTTCTGTTCAGGCCCTGGCAGACGAGAACGAGTTTGTGCGGGACACTGCCCTGCGCGCGGGCCAGAGAATCATCAGTATGTATGCCGAGACTGCCATTGCCCTTCTCCTGCCCCAGCTTGAGGATGGCCTCTTTGATGACTTGTGGAGGATAAGGTGAGGGAGAACCATCTTATCCACAGACGTTCCTCTTCCATGCTTGAAAAACTGGTGTGATTTAGACTTAGGTCTCCCTGGAAGCAAAAGCAAGCGTCTCTTTTTGCTTGTTGATTTTAAATATGATGCCTCAGAGCACTGAGTCTGCAAAACTTTGCCAGCCCTGGGTCGGGTTTCCCGGTACCTTCCTGCTAAATTAGTAATTCTGTTAGTGACTCTGAAATGCGCTTCCAAGGCACTTGGTGTGGCAATATTTAGCCCTCGTATATTGTTTTTCATTTTTCAAAATGCAGAGTAAGTTATTCTTCTCATGTGCACGGTGGAGTGCTCACAGCTCATAGCAATTGCTCAAAACCTAGTTGTACTAAATGGCTTTTGTCAGCTGAGTGCTGCTGAGTGCACGTATTTCAGGGGGGTTGAGAAAGATACTGGCACTGTCTTGTTACTTCTTAGAGGCCAAGCTATTTCCTGGCTCATTGCTTCGATAAGGGAATTGTCTCAGCCCTTTCCAGTTTGCAATTTATTCTTTCGTTTTATCATGCTTCTCAGTCACGCAGGCAGACTGATCAGCCCATGCAGCTTTTCGCTGCTGACGTAGCTCCTTGCCTGCGTTTTGCTCCCATCTGTATTTGACATACTGTCGTATTTGGACAGGTACTGCCTGAATACCCCGTCTGTAACGCTTGACTTGCTCCTGTTGCCAGGTTTAGCTCAGTTCAGCTCCTTGGAGATCTTCTGTTCCATATCTCAGGAGTCACTGGAAAAATGACCACAGAAACCGCCTCAGAAGATGACAATTTTGGAACAGCCCAGTCAAACAAGGTAAAGCTGTTCTTGTCTGTTGTGCCTTTATGTCGTTTTCTTTTTTAATATATATATTTTTAAAATCAGCGTGGAAAGGCATATTTGAATAATCACATAATTTCCTCTTTTAATAAGTTTCAGGAGCAAATAATACATTTTATGATATTTCTTTTCAGGCTATTATTAATGCTCTTGGTGTGGAGAGGAGGAACAGGGTGCTGGCAGGGCTGTACATGGGCCGCTCTGACACCCAGCTGGTGGTGCGTCAAGCCTCCCTACATGTCTGGAAGATTGTAGTCTCAAACACTCCTCGCACGCTGCGTGAAATTTTGCCAACCCTCTTTGGGCTTCTGCTGAAATTCTTGGCCAGTACTTGCGCAGATAAGCGAACGGTAAGAAATCAAGTCATGCCTTCCTGTTACTGCAGGTGATCGTGTAAGCTCCTTTCTTCAGAAAGAACCATTTCTTCAGAAAGGAGTTTATACTGTCACCTGCGGTAACAGGGTAATTCTTTTCTATAAATCACTCCAAAGCTGTCATTAATTTAACTGTTCTGAGCATGAGTGCATCTGAGTTGTCTCTTGGCTGAAGGCAACTGTGACAACAGTAAAATTATTTTTTAATGGTTATTTATAACGGTAGTGTTTTCATTCCTACTGCTCTGTCTATACTGTCTGTCAATAGTTTATGGTCAAAGGTTAACATTTGCTCACAGTTTGCCTTCTTAAGTTTTATAAACCAGAAAAGCAGTTGATTAATACATTTTTGGGGACAGGTTGCAGCACGGACATTAGGAGACCTTGTCCGAAAGTTAGGAGAGAAGATCCTTCCTGAAATCATTCCTATTCTGGAAGATGGACTGAGGTCAGACAAGAGTGATGAGAGGCAAGGAGTCTGCATTGGCCTGAGCGAGATAATGAAATCTACCAGCAGGGACGCGGTAAGTTATATGTGGCAGGGGAAATCTCCAGTTTCCGAGGTAGTTACGTTACGCTGCGGCTACTGCAGTCGAGACAGAATAATACAGCTCGTGCTGGACTTGTTTTGTGGACTGAATTCAGGGCTTATAACTAACAGGAGTTGCAGTTCAGGCAAATGTATGCATTTGTATCTGTTGGTAAATTTAAACATGGCACTTCTGACTTCTATGAGATATATTAATAATAATCATCCACTAGATAGCCTTAGAGCACTGCAGATATTTGTGCTGGTTAATCCTGATTTTCATCCAACATGTTTCACACAAACAGCAATTTAGTTCCAGTGGTGCAAATTTTGTGTTCTTAGCATCCGTACTGAGATGCACATGTTGTTTTGTGCTTCAGATATTCTGTAATTGCATCTCTACCTCTTTAGGTACTGCTTTTCTCTGAGTCCCTAGTTCCTACAGTGAGAAAAGCACTCTGTGACCCTCTGGAAGAAGTCCGAGAGGCTGCAGCTAAAACATTTGAACAGTTGCACTCAACAATTGGACATCAGGCTCTTGAAGATATCCTGCCGTTTTTGCTGAAGCAGCTGGTAAGCACTGCTCAACATCCATCAGCAACTTGATTAACGACGTTGTAGGACAGCTTACAAATAATTTGCTTAAAGGAGAAGCAGGATCGGAGTGGCAGACCTGCCAGGGAATGGCAGCTCTATCTTGTCTCCTCTGTGGACTCATCCTTGCCATCACAGGGAAGGTCTTGTGACTAAAGCGCAGGTCTAAGAATTGCTACATCTGACTCTGCCAGGGAGTTGCCATTGTCACCTGCTCGAGTTGTTTGGCCACCATTCCCGATACAGAAAATCTTTCTGATGTGACAGAAGAGCTTGGTTTGAGTTTTTGCTCTATAATATGAGAGCATTTTTGGATAAAAGGATTTGTGTGTTGGTTGTATGATCACATGGTAAACTGTCACTTGAAACGGGGCTTAGCCTGGTGTGTCACACGTCAGCTCACAGGTTTGTAACTTCCTCTT